TGTATTCAAGGAAATTAATGGAAAGCGAAATGATATTTGGGACAATCTGGACGGGGATCAGAACCATATTGAGGTCAGGCAAATCAAAAACTGAAACAATCATTTTGTCGGCCATTCCAATATTGAATCATTGTTGATATCACAATTTTAAAACTACAATCCATAAATTAAAATAATGTCAAATGTTGAGATTTAGGTTAAATTACTTTAAAGATAGTGAAATGACTTGATGAAAGAATGTCGTTTTCAATGATGGCATATATATCTGCATGAAATGTCAGTTTCTGTCAGATATCAATTTCACTGCCATAATTTTTTGTGAGTGACATTGATTAGACATATATATTTCAAGTGAAATATCTTAAATACATAAGAACGAAACTTTCATAATGGGATTGTTTTACAAGATAGAAATTGAAACTTTGCACCTTTGTCGGGAACAAGTTTCATGTGTCTGTAGTTTGTATCACAACTGTAGTACCGCTTCGTGAGCACTTTTGCAGCGCGAGGGTGACACGATTGTGTGTCGACTGCTGGGTTGCATGTCTGGAGGCAGTGGACCGTGACCTCAGTAATCACTGGGGTATAATCGTGTTCCTATAATCCCAAACGTTACACCCCTACCTCCCCTCAGACACCGCTAAACAGTTTGTTCTTTTTATGTAACAACTGTCTACACATGACTGAACCTTATGAAAAGAAAGTGGAGTTTTACGATCCCGGATGATGATAGACCCTCGGAGGAAAAAATAGATGTTGCGTAGACCTTGGAAATAATAGTTTTGGGGCTGCAACAATTATTAGCTAGTCCGTTGTATTTGAGATTCTTTATTCAGTGTCAGGCAATGATTAAGTAGACTAGGTGAAATGGTCCTCATCGTTTTTGCTCGACATAGCTAGCCCTTTCTCCGATGGAGGTATAAAAGTATCAACCAAGATCAAGGTCGTATGTATGCTTGCTAGCTGCCACACAGGTAGCGATGGAATAGGAAAGGATAGATTTAGTCAGCAAATACATTTTTCAAAACGTAATTAATTTACATTGTAGTCGAAAACTTAAATCTGCTTTGTATATATGATGATGGCATGAGAAAGCTAGGTCACAAAAGGCGGGTTAACTGTAAATAAGATCATAAATATTTGGTTAGAATATCATAGCACAGTGCTTTAATTAGCAAAGATTACACAATTGATATTTTAAAACGAAATTATCTAATTCCATTGCTTAAAATCTGCAATACTTGTTTGGTTATAAAAGCAAGGAAATTAAGATGGATCTTCTTACAGAATTTATGAGGAATAGGTTTATGTGATAAAGTTTAAACAGTATAAATTTTAGATTTATCACTAGAGGTGTATTATGATGAATTGAGAATTGATTAGGTAATGAAATGTCGGTTTTATATGAATAAGGATCCGACGTGGTTGTACATCAAATGTCGTTGATTGCGTGTGAAATTATAATATTGCCTGCACCTGTCACAGGTAAATACTGCAGGTTTGTGTATCCGTCTATAAAATTAAACACACAGGTTGTAAACCATTCCTAATTCAATGCATAAGAGATCTGTGCAGCATAAGAATCTCGTTAAAGGTGAGCACAGGTGTAATTATCTGTTTTACCTGATGACTACGGTAGATGTCACTCGCGGAAATCATCAAACAAATTTTGGACGTTAAATGCTGTATTTACTCTTGAATAAAGACATTAACCGATTCATCAACAGTTCTAAACGATTACTCAGAACTATAACTATACCTTATCTCCCAATTAACAAGTCAGGAAAGGTCATAGTGGAGAAACAATGGCTGGTTGTGTAAATATTTATTTGTCAATAAAAGGTAATAAAGATCTTGGGAGAGACCTTTTTGATTTCTCGATTAATTAATCGACTAGACATCAGAGCTGCAGGTACTATACAGGTGATCGTTAATCAATTATCAATTAGGCGATAATTTATCAAAAGGACTTGGAGAGTTGTATACCCCGCCCCGTAATGTGTGTAGGAAGAGGTGATAAGTGGAAAAGGGAAGATAATTAAGTTACAAAGGGAGTGATAAGTACCCTTATCTGTGAAATATGACCCCGGTTCTAGGGTCCTGGAGATATTGGTGGTACAACAAGGCTGTTATGTCATTGGGTTATGTAAGGGCAGTAATTTGAGCCCCTGTGTAGTAAGGTTATAGGTCCCTAAGGGGCCAGAGGTTCAGACTTGGTCAACAGGTGTCTTTAGCTTGTCTGTGTGTATATATAGTACACACGATCTGATATCAAATATGTGAATAATTCATTATATGTATAGTTAAAAGCTTTGTTAGGTTGATTATTTTTTTCTATATTGGTAAATTTGTTCATGAATATTGTATTGTACCAGATGTTGTTGTTTTTTATGCATATATTGTATTCAGTTTAACGGTTGCATCTATATATATCCTTCTGATTTAAAAATTAAATTAGGAAAAATATGTAATATGAAATTTCCAAATTTATGAAAAATCTGAAAATCGAGTAAAGAAAACAATGCTACAATAATTTAACCCTAAGGTTTTGTATATATATATATGTAACATATTATCATTCAAATAGCTTCATAAATCAACATCATTATGCAGGAGTCTTTTGTTTAAAAACATATTAATGAAATACATAAATACTTCTAATTGGCAAGGGAGGAAAACTGAAATGTTGAAAGTTGAAAGCAGGCAGTGTTTATATAAACACAATGGGCGTTTGATAGAGTGTTCATTAATGTGAAATAAACAGCACTGAAACACAGGTACTTGGGATGCCCTGCTGTTTAATTTACATGATTCGGAGGCTGACGTATTTATTCCTTGTTAAGCTCATGGGAGGGTTGAGAGGCTTCTGTTTATTCCTGTGTAGGAACTAGCTGTTTGATATTGAAGATTTTTCTGTTATCTGGAAAATCTCCATACTTATATGCCGAGCCCTGCAACACAAAGACTTGAAAATGTTCAGCCCCCTGGCCAAAGCCTTGCTAAGTTGCCAGACCAGTCTCCTGACCAGAGTCTCCATTCTGACCACACCGCCCTTCACCTGCTCACATTAATTTGTTAGCCAGCCCCTGGTTTTATGGACATTAGGGGTCTATATGACCATGATAATGACCAGTACCCAGTGCAATCAAGGTGATATCTTACTTCACAGTGTGGTCATCTCCACACTGGTCAGCTGTCACCTGTGTCTGCTCAATGGACCAATGCATTACTGATGACCTCTGACCTCTGTTGGTGATGAACCACTGTGTGTAAAGTTGACCTCTGACTGTGGGAGCTAATTAACCAACAGTAGTGTAGTGTGTATATGTACACTGGGATGATAGCCTGCATGGATGTATTTTTATTGCTGCTGTGTGTTTCGGGGAATATTTCAAAATGCTGCTTATTTGAATTGTGAACATTTTGGATTTCTATGTGAAGTGATTTTTAAGTGAGGATTTTTTTCCGTAAACATGGAGATTTTCTTGATGGTCTCTGTGACATTTTCTGGATTTTAACTACATCTAGTGGGCTTGGTTAGGAATCTTCTTCATCTGAAGCTAATTGACATGGTGGTGCTGTTATAAGGTTTGCATGATGCTTATAAACTTAAGTTAAACATGTTTTATACAGTGCACATATTGAAAATACCAGACCGCACACATGGCTCGGATACGACGGCATAATACGGTCAAAAGTATCTGGTTTTGAAATTCCTTCTGTCATTAATTTGAAGTTGGTGTCATTGCTTTTTATAGCTTTTTAATAACTTTGTACTTTGTTGTACAAAAACATTTGTACGATAAAAAAAGACCACTTGTCATATAAAACTATATCGGTGCAAACACATTTATTTTAAGTTTATAATGCAATTTTTTTTATCAGATGAACTTTTAGTAGGGCGAACACTTAACAGAACGGCATAGCTGATACTCTATAATTATACTTATACCCTCATACAGATACTTGGCTGTTAAATATGCATTCGTATTTCTGACATTTTGAAATACCTGATGCATGTTTCATTACTACGTCAATATCGACTGCACAGACTGTTAAGTATGAACGTATGTAGATTTCTTATCCTCATTTGCATATCTTTAATTTATACACAGCCTAATTGAACATGCCTTTGAATTTGTGGGTGTCCTTTGTTGGCCTTTTGCGACTTTATGCCAGTATGTCGGGGAAAATCTTCAGAAACCCAATGCTTCCGAGTGTCGAGAAGTTTTTTTGTATCTTTTGATACTGCAGTCTTTAGGTGACAGCTTTTGTCCAGATACAAATAACTTTACTTAAGTCAGGTTGTTCAACGAATAGATTGTTAAGTTTTAAAGACAATTATTTCACGTTGCATTAAATACCGAAACAGAATACATGTAAGAAATTTGTGCTGACTTCAGCAAATTAAGTATGTACTATTTGCGTTTTGTAATTCTAATATTGAAATTTTTCACACGCCACTAATTCAATAAATCTGCTTTACCTGTATTTTTTCCCCCGTTATTATATAGCTACCTACATGTGCAGTGTATAGTAGGAGATATAACACTTACACAGACCTCCTACCACAGATTACAACTTTTTTTTTAAACCCATGTGTTTCTGGTTTCAAGTTTACAAAATGCACTCACGCAACTAGTGAAAAATATTTGAAGAAATTTAATGTGTTAATAAAAAGATCATGTCCCATATATTTTTTGCGTAATCAAATTTTCTGTACAGTCATACATCTTGTGATTATATTTATATATATATGCATAATTATGACAGTTTATATTGCCGGAGAAAAAGGTGACTCAAGGTTCTTATCGAGAAGAAGTATACAATATTGGTGGACTAGTTCTGTCTAAACATGTGTTTGCACTCAGTTTGGTTAAAGACTTTTCACATACAAAAGTCAAGGGCGATCAAATCGTATGTGTGAAAAGTGACTAACTGTTTTGTCAGGGGTACGTGATTCAAGGTGTCTGATATGTTTTTTGCTTCTCGCCTCGCAGATGATTTCGGCTCGACCAGCTGGTGGGGACAGTCGGGTGTACACCTCCGAAATGTACATGATGGAAGGAGGACTGCCCAACGGTCATCCTGTGGTCCCAATGCAGGGTGTCGGTCAGCACGATATGCAACTTCAGCAGCAGTATGTTCAGCAACAGATACAGATGCAGCAACAAGCTCAGCTTCATCAGCAGATGCAACATTTGCAGCCTCAGCAACACATGGAGGTTGTGCCCCACCCCGGGGGAGTACACCCCGGGGTCAACATGGCCATGCAGTCACACTCACTACCCCAAGGACACTATGCAATGCAGATGAGCCCCTCCCAAGGAAAGCATTATGTGACGCCCCCCTACATGAACTATACAGTGCCTCCCCCCCAACATCAACCCCCACCCCCTCCCGCCTCCCCATCAACACCCTCTCTCAGTAGGATGTCGTCTCCACCCCCAGCAACATCAGCAGCGGCATCATTCTTCGCCAGGTAAGTCATCTTCGTTATCCATCAAACAGGTGTTCATGGTCACCTATATATATATACTGCTGACACTAACACAGCAAACCTTACATGGTGTTGGAACTTTTAATTGTTGTGTCCAAGTCATTAGACTGTGAAATTTTACCAGTAAACCGTTATTTACGACATCCAATTAAGAAATTAGTTTTATGATCAACCTACATATGGGACCAGAATTGTCCTTGAAATAATAAGTGAATCGAGTGATTAGGGTTCAAAGATCAATGGGACGGGTGTGTACCATATGCGAATATTTGGATTTTTAACACGCACATGCATAAATGAAAAATTACCATCATGCATGGTTCAGAAATCAATGAAAAACAAAACGAAATTCCAGAACCTGCTTAAAAGCTTGTCATACAAGTTTAAAACGACAAATTATTCAATAATTCTGTGTTAAAATGTAGTTTTCATGCAGAACATGCTTTACAAATCAAAATATGAAAATTTGTGTTATTGAGTTAGTAACCTAACGCTGCCAGGCCGCTTAAAATGCATTTATGCAGGACAGGTTGTTTATGAAGCTGCTCTGAGAACGGTGGATTATAACTCATGACAGCTTGCATACAGTCACAGGTAATGTATGTGCGGCATGGCAGACATATAAAAGTATCAGAAATGACAAAATCGAACAGAATTTATCATATAATCCTGGAGTATTCTAATAAAATTCCATTAAAAAAAATATGTCATGAAATTTTCTGCTTATTAATGAACTTAATATTCCATAATATTCCATTGATACATTCTAATATAGCTTCCATTATTCATATTCGATAAACTTGACACTAGATATCGGTTAGGACATTGGTGTCGCATGGCCTAAGGGTCATTGTCCTGTCCCAATGGTGAACTTTAAATATTTAATGACAGATGATTAATTAGAATTGTTGTTCAAATAGCGGGAGATGGACATCTGTGATTGTGGGACACGGAAATCAATCGAAATTCTGAAAAGATATTGACTGGTTACAAAAGGATTTATTTAGATATAAAACGTGTCGCTACTATAAGCTATGGATTAACTATAAACGGTACAGCACCACACCATCAAAAAATACACAAAAATAGAAACGTTAAATTACAAAAGATTATCAATTATTTTTTTTATCCATATTAGGATATATGACTCATTCAGTAATCAGGGTAATTAGGTCGGGTCATAATTATCTATGCGATAAGAATCTTTGACAGAAATAAATCGAAGCTGGAGTTGTCGGGGAGGGGTTCAGTGGGACTCGCTACTTTACTACTTTCCGAAAGATGATGTCATGCGATTGTGCAGCTCCAACGATCATGTGATATCCAATCAGAGCGATGTATATTTCCTCACCGTTAACCAATATCTAGTCAATATCGCATGACAATTAGGAGTCTGATCAATCGGTGAATGGTCTGTTTGTTTGATTCTATCAAGATACAAGTCGGAACATCTTTTTACCGGATGATTGATAAGGTTTCGGATAGTTTTTTGCCGATTTGAATACCAGATTGATTGCTATTGTATCAAGACATTTCATTGGTTAGCTGTATACAAAAATGTGTATGGTTAATTGTTGACTACGACATGATCAATGTTCGGCAATTTCTCTACCTGAAATGTGTATCCCTGCGTGCACAACCAGTGATCTATAGATTTTCATGTTACAATCAGATTATTAATCGTGATATCAATGCAGATTTTGTTTAAAATAAGGATAGAAAATAGATTCATTTAAGTATTTGGAGCATTGCTTCATAGTTGAATCAATTCAAGCCATCGTTCATGTGGCAATTTAGATAAGGCTAGGCAGGTTTGAGAGAGATTAAATACAAAACACAATATAAAAAAATAAAATATAATTGAATATTTAAGGTATAAAATTAAATAAAACATCATTCTGTAAACAAGTTCAGTCTCCTTGTAGGTATGTTATCAAGAGATCAACAAATATATACAAATTACACTGCACTCTTTCAACCACTTTTTAACAAGAAACCAAGAAAAATCTTTTTGGATAATATTTATGATCATAGCATATTTTTCAAAATTGAAATCTCTCAATTTACACAATTACGAACACTGCGCTTCCAACTGTGTAGATTGTAGTTTTGATAAAGACAGGAAATTGTTATGTTTATTCTAACTTCTTAAGATTATTGTAATGTTGATTTTAACCTAAAAGACGGCTATAGACCTCTTATGACATTGAGTGTATAGCACCAGGTTTCTTTGTCATATATTGTGTATTGAAATACGCATATAAATCTAACTTGGAGGGGATGCTGTCCCCAGCTCTCCATTCACATTGTTCATCGACAGTTCAACGAGGTATCTACTGAGTATTGATGTACATTATCTCCATAGGAAACTTGTCAGCTCGAGTTTTATGTGACCTCAGGCTAAATGACCCGACTATTGTGGTTTGGAAGAAAGTATGAATGAATTAACTAATAAAAATATTGGGTGTTACGATAAGAACTCGCCCTCTAGGTGAAAGTCTTCAGTCTGTATAGTGTTTACTAGTTCCGACCTTGTTGGGTTGAGTTTGACATGATCGACTGTTGAAATTTATGACTTTCTGCCCTGAAGAAAATGTCACTCTGTTGAAATTACACATACAAGATGTCATCCCATCCTAACATACACCTATGGTGTTGACAGTTATTCTGAAAAAAATAAAAAAAATAAAAAAATTGTCGTCAGCTGTAAGATTGAGCCATATGATAGGCACCTTAAAGATGACGGCTGGTGAGCTTCACCGAGTGTCAAACCTGTACGCTTTGACCCCCTTCCCTGTATAATATGTTATGAAACATTCAACATGTCTCCCCTTCCCAGTTCATACCACATTTTTTCCCCTGTTATAAAACTTCTGTTTAGACATTTGACATATTTACCCTACTATGACTGACAGCTGAGCCTGTAATTAGCCGAGGAGAATAGATATGATTCAAGTAGTTTAGGTTGCCTCCCTTGGATCATTCAACCACAATAAGCATCTCGGAAGATTTTCAGAATATCTCATTCACTGTGGTAAAAAAAGGATTCAAATAGAAGCCATAGTAATTTGTAGCACCCATTTTCATCAGACAAAAAATCAGATATTAAATTTACGAATATCATTTTCCCTCAAATAATTAAGATTTATTCACACTGGTGTTATTTTTTTTATACACAAGGCTGGAGTATTTTTGAAAATAGCGTGGCTATGATTATATTGCAATAATGTTACGTAATTCTCATTGTGTTTAAAAAAGCCAAGAGGTCAGTCATTATGTATAATGAGATTGTCTAGACATCAAATTTTGTCATTTACACCGTGGATACAATTACGATCACGCTGAGGTGTTTGTCCCACATATATTTAGGGGGGACAGAGGGACAGTAACACGGGGGACCATATTCAATGTGAACAGCTGCTAGGGTAGGGGAGATATTGTCCCATTATAGTTTATACTGCATGAGATATCGTGGATAAAGAAGTTTTGTCTTTTTATCTAAATTGAACCTCTTTATTATAACAACCGGGTAAACATTGCGATAAACAAGATAAGATAGGGCAAGTTTTATTGTAGCCCAAATTCAATAACACCATTTGTGACAGAAAGTCGCTGTGTAAGGATTTCACATAGGAAAAAGTCGTTGATTTTTTTTTTTTTTTAAATTCTGAAGGGGCTCTTATATACCTGAAGTAAAATGTTAAAGCTACTGTATTTTGTTAAGATTTTGTTCAAAAGGAAAAAATCTTTAGACATCATGAACAGAGGTATACGTAGATAACTACAGATTGCATAATTGTGGCCCATGAGAGTATCACAGTGTGCACATGGCTAATAAGCCTACAGAAGGGAATCTTACTATTGAAACTTCTTTGGGGCGCTAACTGTGGTATGCATAAATGAATGTCCTTCTTCCTTATCCCTTTCACCCCTATGTAACTTCAGCAGACTCTACCATGCACTGATCTGGATGATCCCATTATGGTCTACAGTGGTGAAAGGGTTAATTAAGGTATTGTTATAATGAATTCATTTCCGAAATTGATTCTAGTTTTTGTATAAAAAAAAAATCTGAAAAAATCTGTAAACATCAGAAATTTTTAATAAAACTTTGAATGAAAATCAAATTGATACCATCTTTGGTTTATACCGTGTCAAAGACGTGTTATCCCCTGTTGAGCCAATGCTGGTCAATGATTGAAATCTTTTCAATAGACCCTGTGGGATCTCCTGTTGCTTGTTGTCTGGGGCTGATAAAGGGTTACCCTCGGTGCTAATTTCTGACAATCAATCCAATTTGGACTGATGCAAATCTGTCCATCACTTTAGACCGTTCGTGTGATTGCTCGGCCTGAACTTTGACCTTGGTTTGTATGTGCGTCCTACCGAGTGTGAAAAGCTGGTTAATTTCCTGTGCACATGCATATGCATGGAGTGTCATAAGAAGGGCATAATAGGGGTCACCGTGTTATTGTCAGGGCTGGAAAAATGGGGCCATGCAGTGCTATGTCCTTACTGATTCACGCAGCATCCCACTCAGATAATCCCGATACTTTATGACTCGTACCGATATAATACAAAGAAAAAATTGCCGCAATATGCTATTTACCGAGATAATTATTTCTCTTTTTTTCCAAGCGTGCTTCCGTTGAATATTTTCTCTGACCCGACCCTTCTGTGTGAAGATTACTAAATGTCATCTACATTTTGCTAATTCTTGTGGTAGATAGTATCATACGTATGACCTATCTCTTTTTCAAGGTCTTGTCCGTGACCAATTTCACAATCACAATCGGGTAAATATTAGAAAATTTGTTTTTGGGGAATGCTGGTGTCACAAGTGTGATATGTTGATGGAAACTTCAAAGATTTTAATATTTATAACATCTAGAATGGAAAAAAGCATGAAATTGTGCTAAATAGCTTGATCATATCAAAGTTGGGGGAATAAACTAGGATGCAGTCCGGATGATCTGGAAAAG